CCTGAATAATGTTCTAATTAAATATCTGGAAGTTTTTCAGAAAGGTCTAGGGACTATCAAAGGAGCCAAGACCTTCTTCCATGTTGACAGGAAGCAATTTCATGATTCTGCAAGGCCCGCCCTGTGCCATTTTCCTTATGTGCATAAGTACAGGTAGAAATCAGGAGGTTGGAAAGTGGAAGAATCATTAAACCAGTACAGTTTGCAGACTGGGCATCACTGGTCATATCGATTGTGAAGCTCAACGGGTTGGTTCACCTTTGATGGGATTTTAAACAAATGGTAAACTGCTTCTTGCAGCTGGATGAATACCCAATCTCTTGCATAGAGGACCTACACATAAAACTGTTGGAGGGGTCTTTCCTTCACAAAGCAGAACATAAGCCATGTGTATCTGCAATTGTGGTTAGGTGAGGATTCCCAGGAGTATGCTACAGTTAATACCCATAAGGATTTGTACCAATATACAAGACTGCCATCTGGAGTAACATCAGTCTATGCCATTTTTCAGCAGACGATGGAAAACATTTTACAAGGTCTACCCCAGGCAACATTTATCTGGATGATGTGTTAATAACAGGGAAGTCCAATTAATAGCACTTAGAGAACCTGAACACAGTCCTTAGAAGCTTCTCCACGGCAGGCATACACCTTAGTAGGGAAAAATGTGTTCCATGCACCCAAAGTGACCTAAGCGTTCTACAGAGTTAACAAGATTGGGTTACACCCATTGGAAGATAAAGTGAGGGCAATCAAAGGTGCCCTAGCTCCCACGTCTGTACCTGAGCTTAGTTCCTCCCTTGAATTACTGAATTATTACAGTAAGTTAATAAGTAACCTGGCCTCCATCCTGGCACTTTTACACCAGCTATTGAAAACAGATGAGCTTTGGAAATGGTCTTGTAGTCAAGACATAGCCCTTAGGGAAGTGAAGAAGCAGCTATCATCATCTGAGGCGCTGGCACCCAAGCAATATCTGGTGCTAACAAGCAATGCCTCTCCCTACAGTAACAGGGTAGTGTTGGCTAAAAGATGGCCCAATGGAGAGAAATGCCCAAAGAGGTATGCTTCTCAGACTTTGGGTGATGCAGAGCACAAATATGCCCAGATAGAGAAGGAAAGATCGGCAGTCATCTTTGATGTGAGAAAGTTCCACCAATACCTTTACAGATGTGAATTTATACTAGTAACAGACCACAAACTCCTGGTAGGGCTAGTCAAAGAGGACAAAGCCATGCCACCCATAGCTTCAGGTCAAATTCAGTGGTGGGCTCTCATTCTAAGTGCATACAATTACAAGTTGGAACACCATCCTGGAGGTCAAGTAGCAAATGTGGATGACTTGAGCCATCTCCCGTTAGCAGACACACCATTGGTGGTGCCGCCACTGGAAGAACCTGTGCTGGTTTTAAATTGTCTGGACACACCCTTCCAGTCACCACTGACAATAACAGACTGCGGATACAAAAAGATCCATTCCTAGCTAAACTAAAACGGCTGTTGGTGATGGGGAAAGCAAAAGGGCCATCACAACTAGAGTTGAAACCTTTCTGGACCCAGCGAGACCAGATCATCACACAGGATGTCATATTATTATGGGGAGCAAGAATGATTGTCCCAAGCAAAGGTTGCTACCTGATACTGGCTGAACCCCACAAGGGTCATCCAGGGATGTCTAAACTGAAGATGTTGGCAAGAGGTTATGTCTGGTTGCTAGGACTGGATGCAGACATAGATGCGTTGGTGGGGCAGTACCCAGAGTGCCAGTAAGGACAAAAATTACCACAAGCAGCTCCTCCACAGTTGTGGGAATGGCTGCATATACCCTGGACTCGGTTACATGTCAACTATGCCAGCCCTTTCATAAGCTTAATGTTCTTAGTAATTGTGGACACCCACTCAATGTGGTTGGACATGCATAGAGTTCATTTGTCAAACACAGGGACGATGATAGAAAAGCTGTGAGCATCTTTTGCAATGCACAGACTCCCGGACAGGTTGGTCACAGACAACGGACCAGCAAAGAATTTGAGTATTTCCTAAAGTCAAATGGCATTCGGCAAATAAGAACACCTCCATACCATCCATCATTCAATGGTCCGACGGGAAAAGGTGTCAAAAGTTTGAAGTTAGGCTTAAAGAAACAGCCTACAGCTTCATTCAGTTCCAAACTGTCTCAGTTTCTATTGGATTATCGGACTACAGGGATAGCTCCAGCAGAGATGCCACTGGGGAGACAACTCCACACCAGGTTCAATCTGATCTCCATGGATCTGGGGCATGGCATTTGTGTGTGTGTGTATCATGGCATCGGGAATGCCGATGCCGGACAATACTCTACTAAGCAAGAAAGACAATTTATTTCAGCGGATGAAGTTTGGTGTCAAAAATCACGGAAATGGCCCTGCACTGTAAGAGGCATGGTCAATGCAAGGTCAAGTCTTGTGACATACAAAGTGCGGATGGGTGAGGCGGTCCTGAACAAGCACCTTGATTGCTTGAAAACTGCAGACTGAGCAGAACTAAACCATACCCAACTCCTCAGAACAGCTAGAAACGCTGTCAGAACATGTGGGTTCTCCCCTCTGTTTAGCATCAAAGACACCTTGGGGTCTGAGATGGACGTGACAGATGTTGCAGCCTTGACGCCTTTACCGACTGAAGAAAAGGATGAATTTCTTCCGAGACACTCTGGGCGCGAGAGATAGGCTACAGTCGGGTTCATGCCAACCATATCCGAGGATCAGTCGTTGGAACTGAACCCAGTGCGAAAACACCCCAGGAGAGGCTACAAGAAAAAGGTCAGGCCTACATCCCCTGACTTGTAATTGCAGGGATGTAGTGATTGTTACAAGGTCAGCCAAATGGAACTCTCAGAATATGAGTTCCCGATAGAACCAGGTTAACAGCCCCAATTAGGGAGCCCTGGCTGACATATATAAAAAGAAATGTCAGAGGCTTTGTTCAATCTGAGAACTGGGTCCAAGGAAAACGGACAGTGTAAAGTATTATGCAAGCTTAAATAAAGGGTGACTCAGTGATGGGATACTGGCCTCTGTGCAGTTATTTCACCCTGATTGTCAACACCACAGGGCACTCTCTTGTCTGGGCTGAGCAAGTCTCTAGCAATCCTCCAAGTGCCAGTGGCCTGGGACTTTTCTCCTGTGCCAGCTGTGAAGTTGTTGCAGTGAGATGTTCAGTAGATTGTGCTCCCACGCTTTCTAAGCCTAATGTTCCAACGTAGGTGTCAGTAAGGGGTACAGGAGACAGCATTGCTGATGCTTCTTCTCAGGCCTTGGTATTCTCATCCTTTAATTTTGAGGAAGTGGCTTCTCAGGGGATCTGTTCCTCTGTGATGGTAGTACCAGCAAACCAAAAGAGAATCTTTTTCAGCCAGTCGCTTGAAGTCGTGTACTATGAATAACACTGACAGTGGCATCACTTAGAGCTGTAGAGGAATGTAGAATGATCGTTATTCAGTTGTCAGGACATGTATGTCTCTGCATCCTGTCAGAAGAAATGCTGGTCTTCTTCTGCGAGGACCAGAATTCTCTCCTGATCGGGGATGACATACCAAATATTTGGCATCCTTCCATTCAAACAAGCATTTTCCGCCCTATTGTGGACTGTCTTCTCCTGGAAGAGAGAGAGGGATTGATTGAAGTGAAATTGGTGGCACAGCTGTCAGTCAGTGTTCATGCAGATAGTGAAGTGTCCCAGATAAGGAATTAGGCAGTGCAAAAGCCATATAGGATTAGTAGTGCAGGAGCCTACGGGTGAGAGCAAATTAAGTAAGATGTATATTCAATGCTGAGTGTGGTAGAGTTTGAGCCTTGGTGGGAGGTGGATGTAGTAGCAGAAATAGAGTGAGTTTGAGGTAGCAGAGAAGAGTGTGGCCCTGTTACCCTGCTGGAACAGGGAAGTTCATTGAAGTTCATTGACCTTCTTACGGCATTTCTGGCTGTTCTTCCTCACCGTCAAGATGGCACTGATACTAGTGGAGCCCTCAGACCAGGCTTCCACATTCTGGTGGGGCGACCTCCTCTGGTCATCCTATCCTTTTATCACCTGCTTCACTAGGAACCTCCAGGTTCCTATTGGAGAATCACTGCCTGAGAAAGGATAATCCCTTTCTCTGACGTGTCCATACTTAACCCAGTGAGCTGCTTCGGAATGTCACTGCTAGTCTGGATGCACAATGGCCTTTTAAATTTGGCACAGGCACCAGGGATGCTGGTCTTTTGATTAATATCCAATGAGTAGCAATTTGCTCTGGGAAAGGGGTGTGATAAGTTGGGGATAGAACGGGACTTGCAGGGTGCCATCATAGCAGGGTATATAATTAATGAGGCATGTTTGGTAAGATACAGTGACAAATGTTACTGGGCTTGCCTGCAAGGATACCACCAAAAAACTCGACACAACTCACACTTATGCAAAAAACATGTAAGATTCCGTGCATGATATCATATCATGCTATTGGTTAGCTTGGATAGCATATTTACAATGCAAAGTGATGCCAACAGCATGGGTTCAATTCCTGCACCAGCTGAGGTCTGCATGTAGGCCCTGTCTTCTCGACTTAGCACCTCATCAGGGGTGTGGTGACTTTCAGGTTAAACTCACCACCAGTCATCCCTCTCAGAGAGCAGTTCTATGGTCATCGGGGAATGTGGCAACTTTCCTTCACCTTTATTTAATACAATACTCTTTTTTAAAATTTGAACAATAACATGAGACATCAGTTGTATATGAATTGTCCAGGGGCGAGATGTGATTCAAAATATTTTTAGCAATTTGTTTAAACGGTAAAAGATCATTTCAGTGGAACAAATTAAAAGTATTTTGGTGACTTCTGTCTTGGACCATTTCCTCTCAATATGTATACGCAGGTAACATATCACAAAAATGCAAACATCAAGAAATTAATGTGAATCACACTGCCTTATGTTTCCCTATTATTCTAGTAACTAAAGTTGGAGTAATTTCATTCATCATACCTGTTGCTTCTCTACTTTTCTCTCTTTCCTTCATTTTCTCAATTTGTTCACTTTCTCTATTTAGTTCATTTTGTTCAGATTTAGAGGGGGCTTCATGGTTTTCTCTGTTGTTTTCTTCTTTAATTGACAACAGCACTGATTTTCTTTCATTGAGATCACCTGGCGAAATCCTACAGTAAGATAACAGTTATGACCAGAGATAGATACACAGAGAAATCTCAGGACAACATACAATCCATACACAATATCTAAGCCTGACTGTTTATGTTTCATTGTTAATATCCCAGTTTAGCAGAATTAATAAAATTATCTTGAAATTCTTTAGTGGTCCTGTCAGATCCCACCGAACCTCCAATAGCATCAGAAAACAAGGATTCTGGTCATGAGGCATCCTGACTAATTTTGAAATCTTTTAGTCAGTCTAATGAAGACAGAATCCTCAGCCTACCTTTCACAAGTGATATGATTTTGAATACAAGCCAAGTGTAGGTTTAAACTCATAAACTTAATTCATAGAATCATAGAATGACTACAGCACAGAAGATGGCCTTATGTCTGTGCAGGTTTTCCATGGGAGCAGCTCATCTGAAGATTCATCTAGCTTGACAAACATCATGCTCAGTTTCAAAGGAACACATATAATGACCTTATGCCCCTATTGATGAAACATAGGATGCGGTGTCTTTTTGTTTTAAACTATTCATGGCCACAATGAATATGACAACCGAGAAAACAGCAAACAAAGGAATCAACGATCAGATAATTTACTTTTGGTGATACAGTACATTGGTCAAGTATTATCTTCCCTATTTTTAAAAGTGGACAGGGCGTCTGCTTATAATTTCATCTAAAAGGCAGCACCTCCAACAGCACAGTACTCCTTCAGTTTTGCATTGAAATACCAGACTACAAATGCGCTCAAGTTTGTCATAGAATATTGACCTAAATGCAATTTAATTGATTATAATTCCAATAGGAATATTTTAATCTATTAACCTTAACCCCAAATTTATGTTGGTTTGTTTATAAATTATTTAACATTATTGTTACATTTTCTGGTAACATTGGATTATTAGCATCCTGCTGTTCTATAACAAAATAGAGCACTCAAGTAGAAACATTATTCTTACACTTGATTTCTACTCAGAACTTGTTTTTGATAGGTACAAGGATTCTTACCTGGGAAATAAAACTGAGTTGGTCGTAGCAGGTCGACTTGTACACACATCTCTAACTGACTTTATTGAGTCTGCAGTCCCAGGTCTCTGTTAGGAGAGGAATATGTGTATTAACTGTGGAAGTCAAATATATACATGAATCAAACTAATATCATAAATGATGACCAACTTGCATGTCAAGGTTGTTAATTTCTCATTTCTTTCCAAAACATTCCAAAGAATGTGACACTTTACATTTTCTCTGTACATATTTACATTTCTGAGACAAGTGGGAAGTTTATACCTTTTCAATATACAGGTAGTTCTCCTATAACGCGATAGTTACATTCTTGTGTGACCTTGCACTAAAGGAAATTGCACTGTAGAAAATGGCCATAGAAAATCGCATTATGGGGAAATCACTATAGAAAATTGCTATACCTGTACAGCAGAAAGTTTGTGTTATCCAAACAGCGCCCACTATTTATCAATCGCGTTACAGCCAATTCGCATTAACAAACACACATTATAGCAGAACTATCTGGACCTCTGTTCAATCAGTTTTGTTTTTGCATTGAGCTAATGTTACCCACTAATAAGCAACTTAAATTCACAAGAGTATACTCTATTTTCTGTTACTTGTGAGTTCATGAAGAAACAATCAAAAACAAGGCATGTGTAATATGCTCCATTGTTCTGATTGATATACTCTGAAATTGGGTATTGTCAATTGAACTAACTTATGCACAGTGCATCAAACATTGTAATAAAAAGTACATGTTTGATACTTACATTATTTAGGATTTGGATTTTGAGGCGGCAGAAACTTTTTAGGGGGTCAGTTCTATGAAGGTGATGATTTTTAAAACGTCTGAAAATCATTTGGAGCAGTGGAAAAGATGCATAATTTCCAAGAAGTTATGTGATTTCAGCTAAGTGTCTGGCAGGACAACTGTGACGTTAATGGATAAATTTTCTTTTATATTGCTTAGTTTTAAATCTGACTGAGGCCATTGGTTTAGCTTCTGACCTCAGTTCAGAACAGAAAACGGTTTTTTCCACATAATTTATAAATTCAGTTCAGAAGGAAAATTAGTTTCCTCCTCACAGGAAAATCCTATTAACGATTCTCATGGGAACCATTCACTTTATCTGAAGTACTGTTAGTTCATGGATCTTCCAAACCTGGAGACCTTGTCTACAAGTCTTCAAGTTGTTAGAACTGAGAAAGTTCAGAATTGTCAAAGGTTCATGCCAGTGGACATAGAAAGGAATTGTAAAATTGTCAAGCAGTGCACAGGAAATAAACTGAGAAAAGTCAGTCAAATAATTTTGAAGAGTCGAGAATAGAAAGAAAACAAAAATAGAAATTGCTGGAAGAGCTCAGCAGGTCTGGCAGCATCGGTGGACAGAAATCAGAGTTAATGTTTTGACTCAAGTGACCCAGCCTCAGAACTGATGGCAGTTAGAAAATTGTCAGTTTATATGCAAAAGATAGGGTTGGGGGGGGGGGGGGGGGGGAGCAGGGGGGGTTAAGGAGTAAATGATACTTGGGGATAGAGCCGAAAGAGAGAGAAGAACAGTTGGATAGACAAAGGAGTAGATAAAAATCTGGCTAGGAGGATGAATAGCTATTAATGGAGACTGTTAGTAATTAACAAACTCATGCAATCTCAAATTTAAGTTTACAATGTTCCAATTTAGAGGTATCCTTAACTTCTTAAAGGGGAGATGCACTTTAGCTTGTTGGCAGCTAAAGATATGATTGTCACCTTTTACACCTTGTACAAGCTTGATTAGCATATCCTCAAATCTGTTCTGGAATACACTGCATTATTTTACCAGAACTATCCTGATACTAGAAGCTTTGTCTGATAAGACCACAATTTGCTCCACAAGGGCTTTTTTTATGGCTGTCATTATATCCACATTCTATTTTTATGCCTGGGTTTCGAATGCAAGAAAGTCTGTTGCTTGGGTTGAAGTTACAGGATTAAGAACTATCACATTGCAAGGATATCTTGCTTTATCAACACTACAATGAACGTTAAGGTGGAGAAGATTGGCAGGAGGAGTGAAATCCTGTTCCCACCAACTTCAAGCTTAGCTCAACACTTAGCAGTAGTGAACATAGGGAGTTAGTCCATGGGTCAATCTCCATTGTTTAATAGGGCTCTTGTGGCACAGTGGTATTATTGCTACCTCGAAACCAGGAGGCCCAGCTTCAAGTCCTATTGGCTCCAAAGATGCATATTTGTACAGTTTGATTAAAGAAATATTTTCTACAAGGTTTAATGATCACACAATGTTTGCTCAGAAAAACCTCCTGACTTTGATCCTTCACCATGCCAAGCTTAGCCCTACCTAAAATTACATGACCTGAAATCCCAGCATTCACCATACTTCTTTCCTGAGTACCAGCATTTTCTTCCACTTACAGCAGCATATTTCATGCCTTCTGCAATACTCTGCACCTTCTACACTTGTCACACTTTGTCTTCTTGCACCTCTGTCACCTTTTACACCTTATACAAACTTGATTAGCATATCTCAAATCTGTTCTGGAATACACTACATCATTTTACCAGAACTATCCTGATACTAGATGCTTTGTCTGATGACACCACAATTTGCTCCACAAGAGCTTTTTTACGGCTGTCATTATATCCACATTCCATTTTTATGTCTGGGTTTTGAATGCAAGAAGGCCTGTTGTTTGGGTTGAAGTTACAGGATTAAGAACTATCACAGCAGGAAGTTGTTATAAGCAGTGGCAAGATAACAGACACGAACTTCATTATTTATTACATAAGTCGAGATTCATTTTTATGCTCCAGGTGAGGCATCTCCTATCTTAATTCATCTTATCCACAAAGTTTGTGGAAGCACTATGGTGAGTTACTGAATCAGTTTGGAAGTATGTGTTGACCAGAGGAAGGCTCCAGACCCACAGCAACATTGTTGACTCTTAACTACCCTCTGAAATGGCCTAGTAAGCCCTCTCAAGGACAGTTAGTGATTGGCAACAAACACTGGTTTTGTCAACAAGGCTCACATGACATAAATAAATACAACAAAATATTCGGAGAAGGAGGCAGACAGGGGTAGTTTAAGCACAGAGAGGAGAAAGATGGTTGTCCATAGAAGGCCCCCACAAATCACATCCCTGGAGCACCCATCCTTATGGAGCAATGAGCCATGAACAATATCTTCATAAGTGGTCAGTAAAGGATCCCAAGAAAGAGCAGTAAGCCATTTGACCCGTCGAGCCTGATCTGTCACTCAGTTCAATCACAGAACTGATTCCAGCCTTAATTCCATTTTTCTGCCTTCTTCCCCCATCACTGTTAACTTTCTTACACATCAAAAATGTAACTACTCAACCTTGTATATATTCAATTGCTCAGTCTGCCCTGCTCTTTGTGGAAGGGAATTCCAAAGAATAATGACCCTCTGAAAAAGGAAATCCATCCTGATCTACTTATTTTTAAAATGTGCCCCCAGTTCTAGGTTTTCCAAAAGTAGTATCTAACTTTGTCAAACCTTTTTCAAATATTACATCTCAATAAGACAAGCTCCATTAGGTATAGTCCCAACCTTCTCAACCTTTCCTCACAAGACAACTCCTTCATCCCAGGAATCGGCTGAGTGAACCTTCTCTTGACTGCTTCTGATGTAGGTATATCCATCCTTAAGGAAAGAAACCGAAACTATAACCAGTACTCTAGAAGCAGGCTCATCAATGTCATGTATAGTTATAGCAAGATGTTCCAACTTTCAAATGTCAGTCCTCTTGCAATAAAGGCCAACAGTCTATTTGTCTTTCTAATTACTTGTTGAAATACTGACTTTTGGTATGCCAACCTTTTCTAATTCTGTAGAAAGACACTCAGATTTCTCTGAACAGTAGCCTTCTACAGTTTCTCTCCAATAAAATAATATTCTTTCTCTATTCTTCCTATTCGTGGACAACCTCTAACTTTTACAACTGCTGGAGAAAGCAAGAACTGCAGATGCTAGAATCAGAGTCAATACAGTGTGGAGCTGGAGGAACACAGCAAGTCAGGCAGCATCAGAAGAGCAGCAAAGTCAGTGTTTCGGGTTTACACCCTTCATCAGGACTAGGGGTGGGGAAAGGACCACAGAAATAAATGGGAGGGTGGGGCCTGGGAAAGGTAGGTAGGATGGTGATAGGTGGATGCAGGGAGGGGGTAGTGGAGATTAGTCAGTGGGAAGGGTGGGGCAGGTATGTGGGAAAGAAGATGGACAGGTTGTGTCAGGCCAAGGAGGCAGAGATAAGAGGGAGGATTGGACATGTGATGAGGCCGGGGTTGGGAGATTTTGTCTGCACGTGGAATGATCCATCTTGGGAGCAGATGTGGCAAAGGTGGAGGTATTGCGAGTAAGGATTCGCATTCTTGCAGGAGGGTGGATGAGAGGAGGAGTAGTCACTCACAGACATCCCAGCTGTCTTCCTACTTCAAGGACCGCAACTTCCCCTCTCTATTGATTTATAATGCCCTCAACCGCGTATCTTGCATTTTCTGCACTCTGCCCTCTAACACCCTCCCCCAAAGAAAAACAAGGACAGAGTCCCTCTGGTCCTCACATACCACCCTACCAACCTCCACATCCAGCGCATCATCCTCCGCCACTTCTGCCACCTGCAATCCGACCCCATGATCAAAGAGATATTTCACTCCCCACCCCTATCTGCCTTTCGTACAGACCGCTCACTCCGCGACTCCCCTGTCCACTCCATGCTCCCCACCAACCCCACACCTTTCCCTGCAACCACAGGAGGTGCTACATTTGCCCCTACACCTCCCATCTCACCTCCATTCAAGGCCCCAGACAATCTTTCCAAATCCGACAGGAATTCACCTGTATATCCTCCAAATTGCTCTACCATATCTGTTGCTCCCGATGTGGTCTCCTCTACATCAGTCAGACCCAGCGCAGACTCAGTGATCGATTTGCGGAGTATCTGCGCTCTATCTGCTATAATCAACAATACCTTCCAGTTGCCAACTATTTTAACCGCCCCACCCACTCCCTTGGTGACAAGTCCATCCTGGGCCGCCTCCAGTGTCACAAGGACGCCACAT